CATTGAAGACTAATGCAACTTTAAACACTCAAAGCAATATATCTTCTTCTTGTATATATTGATCGGTAATCTTTAGTTTGAGTTGATATCAATTGGTTATTATTTTACAACCGTATCCCGTCGGAACCCAAACGAAAATGTTTGGTGTCTTTGAGCTTCTCCCACGTCCAATTTTGGAGTGATCTTGACCTTTGATCCGTCTTTATGTGTTGGACTTAGCTTGAACATGAACGAGTGGGTCCTGCATCTATTGGCAGCATTTTTGGGGGGTCAACAGATTGGTGCTGTATATGGGAAATCACACTATAACTATGAGGAAACCTGTGGAAAAAGTATCCTGAGAAAATAGTTTTGGCATCTCCCTTGAAAAATGATTTGTTCTTGAAGAGAGAACAAGATGAAGCCCCCAGAGTTGGAAAAAATTTTAAGATCTTAGTTTGAAGAAAGATGAGTTCAGATGATGACGTTTCTCCCACGTGAATGAGGGATAGCAATGATGAAGCCCCCTCAGCCCTAACCCCTCCGGGTCAGAACCTACCTCACCACCATTACAGACGAGGTGGGATGAGGATGGCAACCCAACTCACCAGGGAAGTAGCCTCCATAGCACCTAACATGAGGAGTATTACAAACTAAAATTTAACAATGCAGGAACTACTGAGACAAATGCAAGGCTATGGAGGTTATCCAATTCCTCCCTACGCGCCACAGGGGCAATATCAACAAGAAGATGAGGTACAAAGTCAAAGAGAAGTGGAAGTTGACATTTCCTCTAACTACGCTTCTGGCCAACCCACCAAGGTCCCATGTAATATGGAAGATAACTGCACTCTAGAGTATGAATGAGAACCAAGGCCTCGGAGGTCTAATAGTGTGTTCGACCGAATCAGCCCAGTAGGATTGAGGCCCAAGTAGCCTCAATGACCACCAGCACCTAGGAACATGCCATAACCCCCACCTTCTGAGACTTGATAACCGGAGGAAAGGCAAGAATATGCCCCTCGTGTTGCTCCGCCTAGAAATAGACATCAAGGGAGGGACAAGGAGGCTAGGAATCAAGTAGGACCTTTGCCCCACCATCAAGGTATGAGGCAGACGAAAATTATGACTCGGGTGGAACCTAACGATCTTCTGATTTGGATGATGATGATGATGATGAGACCCTGTCCTTATCGCGAGAATTGAGGAATGCCCAGGTACTGAGCCACTATGTGATGTCCAAAATACCAAAGAATGATGGAAGAGGTGACCTGGCTAAGCACTTGAATAGTTATAAGACACAAGTGAGCTTGAGAAGAGCCACCCCAGCTATAAAAAGCAAAGCTTTCCATTTAACGCTTAGTGGAGCAACTGAAATTTAGTATAGTAGGCTACCACCTGGGAGCATTAGGAGTTGGTCAGAGTTCAAGAACCTCTGAAAAGATTTGCAGTGAGTAAGGAAGGAGAGGCCCCTATTCAGCATCTCTAAGGTATGAGGCAACAGTCAAGGGAAACCTTGAAATGCTTTTGTCTCATTTTACCAACGAGATGGCATATTGTGTCCAAGTTACTGACCATGAGGCCTTGTTAGCATTGCGAAGATGCTTGAATATGAACACCGTATTTTGGAGAGATGTTCGGAGTTAAGACCCGACTACTTACGATGCATTGCTGGAAGAGTCCAAGTATTATTTTCCAATAAGGCAGCATGGTCCATGGCAATCCTCCAATCATCAAAAATCATGGGTTGGGAAAAAGTTTTGGTCTTAATGAGAGAAAATGTTTTGCTGAGAGCAGCCAAAGGATATTTGGTGGAGTAGAAGGAGATATTCAGGGAAGGTTTTGGAATGGAGGGAACCAGTTTGCTAACGTGTAATCATGCATGTTGTATATAGATCATTCGAAGAATGTGGGATTAAGTTAATTTCGGGTGGCATGCATGTAGAAGATAGAATTTCTTAGAGATTTTCAATGATATCAAGCGGAGGTGTATGATTAATATTAAAAATGGAATGAGGAGAGTGATTTGAGGTAGAGTTCTGATTGCATAAGGAATCATGGGTGGTACCGTATTTTGGGGAGTTGATAAAGAAGGTTGAGAAATAATTAAAAGGGATGTTATTTCAAAATCAAAGAGTACATATTGCTGTGATTTTTTTATTAGAAAAGGAAGTAGAGGATGATGCCACGGGGTTGGAAGGAATATATTGGAGAGATGACAAGCGAATTGGAAGGCTGATTTGGTGAAAAATAAAGTAGATCTCATGGGGATGAGCTAGAGGGAAGAGCGGCATCCAACTTTCTCTATGTAAGAAATAAGTGTTCATCAAACACCACTTGTCGTAACAAGTAGACCTTTTTTGGAGATTGGCTCAAGACAACAGTATCCATTATGATTAGAAGAATATCCCAAGAAAATGCATTGCTTGCTTCAAAAAGCAAGTTTAGTAGCTGTGTATGGCCTTAGTAAAGGATAGCAGACAAGCCCAAAGGTCCTATAGTAGCACTGAATCAGCGGCTGTGGGTAATGGTAATGGACTCACAATCCAGAACACAAGTTCTTTCTCTCTAAACAGTCCACAATCAACATTTACATTGTCGTGACACCATGACCAAGCTATTATCCATTAATCAGTTTTGCATTGATAATGACTGTTTTTCATTCAAATGGATTCCTGTTATTTTGTCAAGGACAACAAAACACTTCTAGAGGGACCGAGTGAATGCAGCTTGTATCATGTGAGTATAAAAATAGGAAAAATCAATGTCGTGCACAAATAGCCTTTTTGGTGTCAAAACTTCCTTAGATGTGTGGCATGCAAAATTATGTCATCCTTCAGATAAAATTACAAAGCGAATCATTGCTTCTTTCAAGCTTCCTCTTAATGGGTCGGTCTCTCAAGATTTTTTGTTTCTAACCTGTTAGTTGGAAAAAGGAAAAAAATTACTTTCAATGATTCAGATAGAGTTTCTTTAGGTTCTTTAGAAATTATTCACTCCGATGTATGGGTATTCCCTGTTAAATCTCAGGGTGATTATCTCTATTATGTAATTTTTATTAACGACTACTACTTTCATGGTTGTATCTTATATTCCATAAATCAAATATTATCCTTTCTTTGTCAAATTCAAATTATTAATTGAAAATTTATTTTCATGCAAAATTAAACAATTCCAAATTGAAAATCGCGATGAATATACTTCTCACAAATTTGTCTCTTTCCTCAACTTTAATGGTATTCACTACTGTTTGACTTGCCCTTATATATCCTAGCAAAATGGGATTGCTGAGTTAAAACACCATCGTATCATGAAAATTGGGCTTTCTCTTCTTCATTTTAGGGTAGATGCCAAGAAAATTTGTGTGGTCAATCTGCATTCTTCCATTACGTTAACAATTGGAACATCTCATCTCTCACCCATTTAAACAAATTGTGCCCGTATTGATTTTAAAAAATGAATTAAGTCTACATGGGATAGACGTCCTCAATATCCAAACCTCTCTTTGACAAATTGATAAATGGTTTGTACATATCAATAATAAGAAGAATAATAGTGATTCCAACTAAAAAGATGAATAATAATGAAAAATAATTACGTAGTTAATATTTGGTTTTGACTAAAAACGGAGGCTAAAGTGGCTTGTGGAGATCGTGGTTGGATATGGTGGAGCCAATGGTATAATTTAGGGATGACAACTGGTGCGGGTATGGAACGGGTCGCACATTCACACCCCGTCCCGTCGGGTATATTTGTTACTTTGTCCCATCCCCACACACCGGTTAAAACGGGACGGGGTGGGGCGACGCAAGTCTCCTGCCTCATTTATCGCCCCATTTATTTTTTATTTAGGTTATTTTTTACTTTTATTTTTTTATGTCTTTAGTTAATAAATATATTTTTTTTTTACTAATTTGTTAAAAACAACTTATGTACTCTTTAAAAATGATGATAAATTTATTATTTTTGTTCAAAAAAAAACTTAAATTTGAAATAAATTTTAAACGGGATGGAGACTATGATTCCCGTACCCGCATCGGGGTAATGGCCATCATCACGTCC